AAACAGCCATTGGCTACCATAGCATTTTTGTTTCTACTATAGATGCTAACGGCTACTTTCACCATACTTCTTATACATACATCTTATTTTAGAGTTCAACAAAGAAAAAAAAAAAAAGCTTAGAACAAATTTAATACGAGTAAGCGATGAAACCATTGTATGTTATAAAACCATTGTATGTTATATATAAACAAACTGTTAAAATTTTTGCTAAAAAGCCAAGGAGCTATCATCATTGCAACTGTATTGCACAACAAAAATTACTAACATTTGGCAGTTTCTTATTTTATGCTGATGTGTGTTTAATGTATAAAATATTTCATGGTCTTGCACCACCACCCCTCAAACAATGTGTGATTGTCGGCAAGGACAATATAAGACAGACTAGGTCATCAGTTAGAGGTGATTGTTCAGGTAAACTTAAGAGAACTGCTTTTGGACAATCAGTTTTTTCAGTTAAAGCAGCAGAAAGATGGAATAAAATACCAGTGTATATCAGAGAGAGCAGCACTTTTAATAATTTTAAAACTGTTCTTAAAATCTGGCTAAAACAAAATCAAATATGCAGCCACTGATTTGATTTCATTTTATTGACAATGATGTATTGTATTTATTGTACTGTAAGTGTATATTGTATTTGTTATAAGTGTTAAATTTGTTACTTCCTGCCCAGGGACTACAGATGTAAATTAGCTTTATAGCTAACTCTGGCACAACATGTCATGTTGTACATTGTCCTTGTATAAATAAATAAAGTAAATAAAATGAGGATTGTTGGTTTACAAGTTCCATCTTAGATTTTTTAACAACAAACAAGCCTATGTAATGGAACAATAGTGAGTGATGTTTAGTAGTCTCTAAAGCTTGAGTGGCAAACAATTGTACGTTCATCATCATCATTTTCATGCGCTTATCCAGGGGCTGGGTTGCGGGGGCAGCAGTCTTATGAGAGAACCCTTGACTTCCCTCTCCCCAGACACTTCCTCCAGCTCTTCCGGGGGGATCCCGAGGTGTTCCCAGGCCAGCCTAGAGACATTGTCCCTCCCGCATGTCCTGGGTATTCCCCGAGGCCTCCTCCCGGTGTTCCATGCCTGGAACACCTCCCTAGGTAGGCGTCCTGGAGGCATCCGAAACAGATGCCCGACCCACCTCAGCTGACTTCTCTTGATGTGGAGGAGCAGCGGCTCTACTCCGAGCTTCTCCCAGGTGATGGAGATGGGAAACCACCTTTTTTTTCCGGTGGAGCATCATGGCCTCGGAATTGGAGATGCTGATACTCATCCTAGCTGCGTCACACTCGGCAGCAAACCGCCCCAGAGTATGCTGAAGGTCCATGTTCGAAGAAGCCAAAAGAACGACATCATCTGCTTATACCAGAGATGAAATCTTGTGGTCCCCGAACCAGACCCCCTCCAGCCCAAGGCTGCACCTTGAAATTATGTTCATAAAAGTTATGAACAGACTTGGTGACAAAGGGCAGCCCTGCCGGAGCCAAACATGCACTGGAAGCAAGTCTGACTTTTTGCTGGCAATGCGAAGCAAACTGTTCATACAGCGACGAGACGGCCCTTAACAAAGCGCCTCCGACCCCAAATTCCCACAGTACCCTCCACAGAATGCCACAAGGGACACGGTCGAATGCCTTCTCAAAGTCCACAAAAACACAAGTGGACTTGTTGGGCATAATCCCATAAATCCTCGAGCACCCTAGTGAGAGTATAGAGCTAGTCCAGTGTGCCACAGCCCGGACGAAAAAACCGCATTGTTCCTCCTGAATCCTAGATTCAACATCAGCCGGATCCTCTTCTCCTGTACCCTGGCATAGACTTTCCCAGGGAGGCTGAGGAATGTGATCCCCCTATAGTTGGAGCACGCCCTCCAGTCCCCTTTCTTAAAAATGGGAACCACCACCCCAGTTGCCCAGTCCAGAGGTACTGTCCCCGACCTCCGTGCGATACTAAGGGTGTTTTCACACCTGTGAATCGATTCAGTTGTTCCGAAACAGATTACAATTGTTACATTGTTGCTCTTTGCTCTTGGAGTGGTTCGCTTTCACACTGCAAAGTTTCTAATAGGACCAAAATAGCTAAAACAAGTCACGTGCGAGTAAACTCTCCTTACATTGGTCAGAGTTTCAGGGTTTATTTTGCAGCGTCCCGCTCAGCTGTCAGGAGAGATGGTGGTTTGGTGGTGATTGACAGGGTACGCGCGTGACGTGTCTGAGGAGAGATGCGGTGGGGAGGGGTGAGAAGGGTGCGCGACGATGCCTATTTGAGGACCGGGAGGGAGACGTGAGATTACCGGGAGATCACCACTCGTTTGCGGGCATCCGGAGACTCGCGAAACTTCCCGCCCTACTCATAATTCTCTCTTCATATAGCCGTAAGCCTATTACATATCCATAAAACACTGTGATATAACCGCGCTCGGATCGCTTTCTCACTACAATCGAACCGCTCCAGGGTTCGTTTCAATCGAGCCGAGACCCCCTCATTCAAGCGATCTCGGAGCGATTACTTTGGCGCGGGACAGAGCGCGATTGACCTGTTCACATATGCCAATCGAATCGCGCTAACTGGGCAAACGAGACACGTTCCGAAACAAAAGTGTAGGTGTGAAAGCACCCTAAGAGACGCGTCAGTCAAGACAGCCCCACAATATCCAATGATCTAAGATACACTTGGTGAACGTTTTCTTGTAAAATTGTTTGTTTTACATACATATTATGTATAATAACAAATCAGTTGTTTGATTATTGACGTATATATATGTAATTTGTTTGTGATGCGTGTCTCAATCAGGATCTCAATAAATATGGGCTGTTGTTATTGTTCTTACACAGGTTCGACCAGCAGGTGTCGCCAGCGTGTAGTGTTTCAGATATGATTTTTACTTTTTTGTCCCCTGATTGAAACACAAAATCTAATTGTAATGCTTTTTGTCCACAGTTATTAATTACAGTTACTATAATACCATTACAATTGGTGCTGTATATTTTTGTGGAAACCAAGATATAGGCCTACACATTTCAGGATGATTTGTTTAAAAGACTACTACTTTTGATGCACTGATACAGTTTTCTGCTTAAATGAGATATTACAATGATTTCATTATTGATCATATTGTTTATTAAAATAGTATGTATTCAATTAGGAGTTCGTTTACATTGTAATAGTTTCCAATGTTTGTACTTGAGGCCAGTTTATGATCAAATAGATTTATTTTTTTTGTGTGCGAAAAGACTTTTTAAGGGGTGAGGCGCAGTAGGTAGTGCTGTCGCCTCACAGCAAGAAGGTCGCTTGTTCGAAACTCGGCTCAGTTGGCGTTTCTGTGTGGAGTTTGCATGTTCTCCCTCCCTTCGCATGGGTTTCCTCCGGGTGCTCCGGTTTCCCCCACAGTCCAAAGACATGCGGTAACAGGTGAATTGGGTTCATTTCGCTGTGGCGACCCCGGATTAATAAAGGGACTAAACCGACAAGAAAATGAATGAATGAATGAATGAATGAAGACTTTTTAAACAGGAAACTGTGTACATGGGCCATTCTATTCTTCAACTACGGGCACTTTTAGCCTTGTGAAGTTGAGTAAAAAAAACGTGTTCAAAATTATTGTGACATAACCTCATAAGTTTAAACAGTTTGTCTAGTTTTAAGAACTGTAGGAGGACAAACTTGGATAAAAAGAGAAACATGTTTCCATCGTGAACTGAACAAATGTCAATTCCACCACATCTCATTATATACAGCTTTTTTAAAAATGAAATAAATGATGGCCGTCAAACATTGTCTAAGATAATTTTTGTATCTAGTTTAACCAATCTTTCCACAATATATAGCTATATAATATTAATTATACATTTGTCAATGAAATAAATTAGTTGTATGCTGAGCTGTACACCTGTCACACTCTAAAATTTTATATTAATTCGGTTAAGAGCTTATTAGAAAATAAATAAACTGAATTTGTAAATTAAATAGAGCAGGAACTCATACTTTGTGAATACACTTTTAATGTGTGATGAGAACTTTTTAAATATTTTTTTAAATGTGTGTGGTGATGGAAATGACAGTGGTGGAAATGACATGTCTACAGTTTATTGTGAAAAAAATGAAAGATATAGCTTCACCGATTCGCTTTGAATTGAGACTAGCCTTTCATGTCTACAAAACACTCTTATTTAGTTTGGTTTTTAAAAAACATCTTTGAAGGTAAAACATGTTCGGAAATGACACAGAATAAATGTATTTCCTTATCAAGCAATTTTTACCTTGAATATTTTTCAATTATTGTTGATGAAAATGTAAATTCCCGCCATTTTGAAGATGTTCTCAGATGTCACTATTAATTTTCAGAGAAACAACCTAAATAATCTCAAACAAACTTTGTAAAGCGACATTACAGTGTTGAGCTGGAAATGACACTGATACTGTGACACAGCTATGTTTTGTTCACAAAATAATATTGATAATAGTCTCACATTAATAACCATTAAATATTTAACTTATTTCACTAGTGCTTCATTAAGATACATTAATAGACACCAGATAAATAATCTTTTAAAATGTTATATTCATTGTTGAAGTTTTTTTGACATCTAAAAGGAGGTTGAATAAAATGAAAAATATATGATAGAAAGGTAGTCAATATTTTTCTGTAGGTTTTATTGTTAGTTTGACAAAGAAAGAGAAATTTGAACAAAATTATAAATATTTTTGGATATATGATGAAAGGACAAAAGTACCCGTGGTTTAAGAATTACCCACATATGTTTGAAAACACAACAACGTTATCATAAAGGTACATAACCGAGTGAACTCGCCTATTACTTTCAAAATATAGCAATGTATAGTCAAGCACTACTTATTATATAATTGTGTTATTTTACACTGTTTAAAAATAAAGGGAACACTTAAACAACATAATGTAACTCCAAGTGTTTCCTTTATTATTTTGAAAAGTAATGTTATATATTATATGTATAGCGTCCTCCAGAGGATACCAAGTTTAACTCACCGGATGTTGCGTTAGCTCCACCCCGCGTCCGCCATGTTTGTTGCTACAATGTGAAGGCGGGCGAATTTAAAAAGTAGAGTCGATTGATGTTTACCTAAAGACACTGAATTTTAGCTGTTTGTTGGTTATTAATCCTTATAACAAAGCGTACACGAAGCAAAGTCACAGTTCTGATTGCATGCGTGCTGCGATCGTCGCGTTGTAAATTTCATGCGTGTTTATTGTGTTAGCTCACTAGCTAGCAGCTGTCTGTTTTGTATTGTGGATCGGTGACGTTTTGCAAGATGAGCACCAAAACACCACGATTAACATCGAGGAAAAGCAGCGATCAAATCATAAGTGAGTGTTATTAATGTGAACATAACACTTTTGTTTGTTACAGAGTGTAATCTGCAGTTACCGTATTCTAGTATAAAGTTAATAATGAATGTGAATGAACGCTTTATAATGCTAGTGTGATCCGTTTACTGTGTTTTCTATACACAAATGGTTCATTATCCTTTATTTGTTTTAATTTTAATTTGTACATTTTTACATAGAGTCAAATGGAAAGAGTCCAGCACGAAGGAGGTCCAGCAGATTGTCTGCAAATGATGAGAATCTGCCATCTAAAGTGGTGGTGAGTTTACTAGAAATTCATTAATGAAACATTGATACATCAGGTGTTCACGTCTATATGTGTTAAAATAGATGTTAAAATAAAAACTGGTTGTTGTGAGTTGACAGTGAGGTTGTTTTGCACATCAAGCATTTAAATTAGTTGCTACCTTGTTAATTTTGCTCTCTGTTAAATCTGTTGTAACGTTACTAAATAATCTAAAATAGCATGTCAGTTTGGCTTGCACGCCGCCGGACAAGCACTAGTCGCTTTTAACACATGAGAGACGGTTCTTTTGCTGTGCTTGTGTTTAAGGAGGCATGGCTCTAGACGGCAGGGGAGGGACTGTCATTCAGAGATTTATGCTAAGCTGTTAGCATTGTGAAAGATCACCTACTGCACTTTTAATACATCATACAAAAGTAAAACCCAGGTTAATTGATGTACAATATAATAATAATATTACTTTCATTAAAGCCTCCTCCAGTGGCCATGAAGCGGTCGATCACTGTGCGGAAAATTGCACCCAGGAAAACCCAGGTAATTTAACCAGATTAATGCTCATGTTATTGATTAAGACCTTAAAGGGACAGTTCACCCAAAAATGAAAATTCTTCTATCGTTTACTCAGCCTTCACGTATTCATTTTGTGAAAGGTTGACGGAAGAATGCTGGTTGATTCCACCTATTGACTTCCATAATTTTGTTCTCCTACTATGGAAGTCGATCAGTCCCAGCAATCAGCATTCTTCAAAATATCTTCTTTTGTGTTCAACAGAAGAAAGAAACTTAAATGGGTGTGAAACCATTTGAGGGATATTAAATGATGAAGTAATGAACTATCCCTTTAACACAAACTCATGTGTCTCTGTGTGTGGTGTTGTCTACTGTCTTATTTTTATCTATGGTATGCTATTGAGTGACTGGATTTCCTTCAGAATTGATAAAATACCTAACTAATGATTTAAATGAATAATAATGATCATAAATCTCCTTCTAGGCCTTGTCTAACAGTAACAAGGAGAACGTGGAGAGAATATCTGAAGTGTCAACAAAGCGCTCCAAAGTCTTGACATCTTCGCCGGCCATATCAGCAGAGCCCAAGACATCTGTCCTGTCTCCAATCCTCCCGTCTTCATCTCCTCCTCCTCAGCCCACAGAATCAGAACAGGACTCTGTTTGGTCCAAGAAAGTGCGACGCTCCTACAGTCGCCTCAGTATGGGGGACAAATCCTTCGAAAGTCCCAGACCTGCCCGTTCCTCTTCTCCAAACAACAGAGAGTCCCTGTTTGGCTTCGAGCGTCTTCAGACCCCAGAGGTGATGAAGAAGACTGAAGGGTCTCGAAGCGCTCCTCTGGGCTTCATGTCCCTCTCTCTGGGTTCTTTTAACCTCTCTGCTGCTGATGAAAGCGCTTCTAACCCTCCAGAGGTTGATCCGAACATCCCTGGTGTGTGTCTGGGGAAAAAGACCACCAGGAGGAAGCGCGTTCAACAGATAAAGGTGAGAGCGAGTTGGGGAAAATGAAACATGACTATTATACAAGATTTTTTCTGACATGAAATCAAAAAATAAAAGGTATTTGTGACTAGGTCGCTAAATTTTGGGTGTTTTCAAGGCTGAAAACTTCCCATGGGAATATAAAGTTGAAGTCAAAATTATTAGCCCTGAATTTTTATATTATTTTTATTTTTTCAAATATTTCCTAAATGATATTTAACAGAGCAAGGAATTTTTTACAGTATTACCGCTAATATTTTTTCTTCCTGAGAAAGTCTTATTTGTTTTATTTCGGCTACAATAAAAGCAGTTTTAAATAAAAAAAAAACTTTTTAAGGTTAATATTATTACTCCCCTTAAGCAATATTTGTTTTTACATTTGCAATATTTGGTTTTAGCATTACAGGGCTCAAAATTGCAACCGTTTTGGTTGCATACGCGCCGGATATTTTTATTCATGCGACCTTAAAATATATTTAGGAGCATTTGTGCGAGTGCATAAAAGTGTTGCCATGCATGCGACTAGTTTTCACTGCAGATTCAATAATAATAATAATACATTTTATCTAAAGGCGCCTTTCTAGCAAGTCAAGGACACTGTACAATCAACAAAAGCAATAAAACAACAGGAGAAAAAATAAAATGTACACAACAATAGTGCAGATAAAATGAAGTATTGAAAGCCATCTTAAATGAGTGGTTTTTGAGTCTTGATTTAAATAGTGTGAGGGAGTCAATGTTTATGATGGCAGGTGGTAGTGAGTTCCAAAGCCGCGGAGCAGAGCGGCTAAATGCTCTGTTGCCCATAGTTGAAAGACGAGAAGAGGGAACAGACAAGTGGAGGGAGGAAGAAGATTGCAGAGTGCGAGAAGGAACATAAATGTGGATGAGGGCAGACAAATATGGAGGAGCGAGATTGTGGATGGCTTTGAATGTTAACATCGAGATTTTAAAGTCAATTCGAAAATGAACAGGTAACTAATGAAGCTGCTGCAGGACAGGGGTGATGTGATGAGAAGAAGGGGTTCTGGTGATGATACGGGCAGCTGAGTTCTGGACCAACTGAAACCTACAGAGGAATTTATGAGAGAGACCAAAGAGAAGAGAGTTGCAGTAATCTAAACGAGATGTGACAAGGCTATGAACGAGAACAGCAGTGGCATGAGGGGTAAGAGAAGGGCGGAGATGGTTAATGTTGCGTAGGTGGAAGTAAGCAGACCAAGTGATGTTATTGATGTGAGAATCAAAAGATAGGCTGCTGTCAAGGATGACACCCAGACTCTTAACCTGTTTAGAGGGATAAATGGAACAGTCGTCAATTTAAAGAAAAGCTGTCAGTTTTGGAAAGTGATGATTTGGTACCAACAAGCAAAACCTCAGTTTTTGAACTATTTAGTTTGAGGAAGTTAAGAGGAAGCCAAGACTTGAATTCTGCTAAGCAGACTGTGAGGGATGTAGGTGGAAAACAAGAAGAGGGTTTGCCAGAGAGATAAAGCTTGGTGTCATCCGCATAGCGGTGAAACTGTATGTTATATTTACTGAGAATATTACCAAGTGGAAGGAGATAGATTATAAAAAGTAGGGGCCCCAGGACTGAGCCCTGGGGAACACCCGATTTAGAAGACATTGGCGCAGAATGCATCTTTGAAGCTAAAAACGTGAAACGAAGTGCTAGGAAATAGTTTAAAACATCGACGTCACGTCAACTTTCTACAGTAAACAAATCCCGCAATGCTTTCCCCGCCTTCAAGCTCTTCTGATTGGCACACTGCTCTAGAACTGAATGCGAATGGATTGATTAATACCAGGTGTCAATCATTTAGTCAAAGCTTCTGCTTCATGTGATGGGGAGCTACAGCTGTGAAAATGTAAAACGCTGAAGATAAGAGAATGAAAAGCTCACAGACAGAGTTTGTTTTAGAAAACACCTAAAGTTAGAAATAATGACACAGCTGATAAATGATACACTTTTTTTGTTTTATATTTTGTTACAGACATACAGTGTCATCCTGCAACTGTTGCAGCAAATGAAATGTCCCAAACCCTATTTTTTAACTGTCCAAAATGGGAAAAGAATTTGTTTTTACTCTCTGATAGTCAAAGCAAGTGCAAAAAAAAATCTGTGTTAAATATGCATAAAAGATTTTTTAGGAAAACATGTTTTGTAAATTTGGACCACGAGATCACATATATGGACATAATTTTTCTCTAAAAGTACATCATATCAAGATGATACTTAAATTTTTATTGTAATTAGGTTCCAATAAGCCCAAATAGCAAAGAGAAATGCATGAAAAAAACACCTTGGGCTTTAAGAGGATATAACAAGAATATTGAAGCCATATTTTTTGCATTTTAACCCAAATACTACATCGATTCCATTCAAGTCATTTTAATATTATCTTGTGAAGTGTGGGGAATTTTTTTTTTTAATTTCAAAGCAAACAAAAGGGAATATGTTTCCTTACATTTAACGCTTTTGCTTTTGTGTTGCTCAATGAAAGAATTCAAATCAGTCATTTTTTAATTCATCAGTTTGTGTGCATGTCAGATTATGAACAACATGTTTGTACATAGAGTTTAAATCAATTTCTCTACATTTCTAAAGTAATTTAAATTAATAAATGGGGAAAATATATTAAAAACATCAAAATACAGAAAACGGCAAATTTACTGATAGTTTAGACTGGGCTTCATTATTAAACATGTCATTATTGCTGTTTTGCGTAATGTTTTCCTGCTTTTTTCAGATGTCAGAGTTGGACGTTCTTGCTGCCAAGATGAACGCTGAGTTCGAGGAAGCTGAAAGTTTTGAACTGTTTGTTGAATGAAATTTCCAAAGAGCCGTCGATTGTGCTCAGGACGTTGTTCCTTATTCTTACATCCCGCCAAGTCTTGGGGATTTAACAAGCATGTTTTAAGAGATCAAACAGTTGCAGTTCTGCTCTGATACGATTTATTTCACAACCATAAAAGCATCATTCAGCCATTACACTTCCCGAAAAAGAAAAACTCTTTCAAATGTTTTACATATCTAATGGATCAGTTTGGTTAAAATCATTCAGCCAAAAGACTTTTTTTATGTCGTCTGTTTCTCATATGTGCATATTGTAGTTGGATGATATGTGAATAAATAGCATTCTGGCAGAGTAAACTCTTGTCAGATTTAAAACTTTGTTTTGCCGTATAGCAAGTTTCTGAGGTATTTTTAAAAATGGCAACTGAAGTAAAGATCACACCATGTAAGTCTCTTTGTGTATTCTATTAAAATTCAATTGTCTAGCTAAATTCAGTAGCTTAATATTTATATTTTAAAACTTCTTTACCCTTGTGTGCTGTTGAGGATGTTTTCATCCACTGTGGGGTGATTTTGAGGCTTAATTTGCCCACAACTTGCTCTGTGTTTTACAATACACTCTGGGCAAATTGACTACCCTTTCATTATGTTTGAAGTGGTTTGTGCCCCATTGACTTCCATTATAATCTCATTTTTTTATTGTAACGCCAATACATCATATTATTATGCAGTATTTATTGTTGATGGTTTACCATGTTGGGAAGAGGTAATATATATATATATATATATATATATATATATATATATTATTTACTGTTGTTTATCAGTTGCAGAGCAAGTAAAAGCTTCATTTCTGACTTTTATATAGAGTATGGTGGGTAAGAGAGACCTTTTATAACCTTATCTTGATATGTCAGAGAAAGTTAAGTCTCATCTCAGCTCTCAGAACATAGTAAGTGTATTTATGCATTAACATTATAACTTTGTTGTTATTCTCTATAGAACTCCCTATAAAAGCCAGGAGTTTTTTTTTTTTTTTTTGCACAAGCCTATCTAAAGAGTTCATACTGCCAACTGAGAATCAACAGTTAAGTTACACATTTTACCTCCGAACAGAGAAAACCAGCAACTATCAAGAATGCATGATTATACACTACCTGACAAAAGTCTTGTTGTTGGCCCCAGCTGTAGGATTAACAAATAATAACTTGACTTCTAGTTGATCATTTGGAAAAGTGGCAGAAGGTGAATTTTTCTGATTAATCAACTGTTGAGCTGCATCCCAATCATCACAAATACTGCAGAAGACCTACTGGAACCCACATGGACCCAAGATTCTCAGAGAAATCAGTCAAGTTTGAAGGAAACATGGTTTGGGGTTCCATTCAGTATGGAGGCAAGTGAGAGATCTGCAGATCTTACAAACCACAGAAGAGGACAAATTCTTCAGCAGGATAGCGCTCCTTCTCATACTTCAGCCGCCACATCACATTTCCTGAAAGCAAAGAATGTCAAGGTACTCCAGGATTGGCCAGCCCAGTCACCAGAAATTAACATTATTGAGGTAAGATGAAGGAGGCATTGAAGACGAATCCAAAGAATCTTGATGAGCTCTGGGAGTCCTGCAGGAACGCTTTCTTTGCCATTCCAGATGACTTTATTGTAAGTGATTTAAGTCATTGCAGTGATGTATGGATGCAGTCCTCCAAGCTCATGATGGAGTCAGACACAATATTAACTTTTTCCACTGCAGCATGACGTTATCTACTGTACATTATTATTTTTAAGTGACAAGACTTTTGTCCAAGCAAAGTCAGACCTTACTGTCTTAATTAAATAATTAAAAATTAAGACATGATCATATTTTATTTTGATATTATTGGCGTAATCTAGAGGCCTTTGCCTTTCATATAAGCCACTTCTGATAAAAAGGATCAACTAGAAGTCAAGTCATTGTTCCTAAAACTTGTATAGGCGGCAAGACTTTTGTCAGGTAATGTATAGTGTCAAGCCTTTGCAATCCAAAAATGTTATAATGGAAGTCAATGGATAAAAACAGTTAAACAAAGTCAATTTGATCAGTGCATAAGAGTAAAAAAAAAAAGCTACAGATATATTATTATTTAGCCATACACATAGACACTGAATAGGAATCAATCACCATGCCGAGTGTTTTTGGTGCACGCTGTAGTTTTACTCTGCTTCACCACTAGAGTGAGCACTTGATCTTCAACAATGTTTATAGTCGATATTTTTCCGGCTGATGTTTTTTGATTCAACATGCCTTTAGAGTGTTTGCTTTAACATCGATCATTTTGCTTTACATCGATCATTTCCACACACAAATCATCCAACAGTTATCTAATCTGGCTCAAAGTACAGTTGAATGAATCAGTTCGTGTTGAGGATCCAGTTTTTCAAGTGAAATAAGCTAGCATGCTGCAGTTCTGTTGGTTGAGCTTCGCTGCCATGCTAATTATTATTTCATTCTTTACTTGTGTTTTGCCTCAGTTTATGTAGTCTTTTGTTGTCTTGTACTAACTTTTGGGTTTATAAATAAACTACAGTGTAATAAAATACTGATCTAAAATTGGTTTACATTAACCGCATGAGTCATTTGAACTTCTATTATACTTAAAACAGCTTGTATAACTCAGAAAATTAAGGTGGAATACAATTAAATTAGTTTAATAAGTTACAGTTAGCTAAAAAACATATATTGTCATGACTTACTGATCACATATTTTTATACATTCATTCATTTTCTTGTCGGCTTAGTCCCTTTATTAATCCGGGGTCGCCACAGCGGAATGAACTGCCAACTTATCCAGCAAGTTTTTACGCAGCGGATGCCCTTCCAGCCGCAACCCATCTCTGGGAAATATTTTTATACAGTGTAATAAAAAACATTTTATGAACTTATTAATACCTTATTTTGGACTCATTCCCCTTTTTAAAGTAGGTTTTAAATACCTCATGTAGAAATGTGATATGGTAATATATGCAAATTACAAATATGACACAAGTTCATTTTGAATTTCAAATATATATGAAATGTATGCAAAAAATAGGCTAAATATTAGCTGTTTGCATATATATATATATATATATATATATATATATATATATATATATATATATATATATATATATATATATATATATATCAGTGGTGTAGTCCTAGAAAAAAGGTGGTGTACTATTACACCCGACACAAATTTTAAATGAAAGTAGGCAAAGAAACAACGAAAGTTAATGTTTCTTCGATTCATTGGAGATTTTATATATTTTTATATATATATATATATATATATATATATATATATATATATATATATATTTTTTTTTTTTTTACATTAGTTACCTGTATTTAAGTTAACTCAAAAGGGCCTGTGCATACATGGAAAGACAGCTTTTTAGCTTACTTTCATTACTGGCTTATTACTTTAAATTTTATAGGTTCATTTAAACATTAATCAGCAATTATTTTTAATTTTCACATTCGTGCATGCTTGTTTTAAACCAAACTATTAGGAGTCTTTCTTCTGTTGTCGCTATTATATACTAGTAGTTACCCTTTTAAATCGCACATTGTTACGCGATTTATGAGTAGTCTTTGCCTAATTGTTTTTATACGGTATTATGTCGTTCACTAGCGCCACAATTAAGACAAATGTGAAATACTGTTTTACAGGGGCGATTTTAGGATTTTAATTTCAGTGTGGATCAGGATCAGATCCTTTTGGGGTAAACAAAGAAAAATGTGTCATATAAATATTTAAGTAAGAATTGTAAGAGATAGGCACATCTTAACAAATTAATTTGTGAGTTAAAAATAAAACCTGTTTGGTATACAGTTAAAGGGTACGCAAATATATGTAAATTAGGGAAGTTTAATCAGAAAAACAAGTGAGTATACTGAGGGTATACTCAATTATTGATCCTCAGAAGTGGTAATACCCAAACAGCTCATGGAAAAAAGTAAGCATACTGAGTATACGTCCGTATAGCAAGGACTACACCACTTATAGCTATAGCTTATAGTAGGCATGTAACTGCAAATGAACATATAAGCAACTTGATGTCAAAACAATTGTTCTTCAACCAAGTGACAACATATTTTTTATAGTTGGCAAAGTTAGTGTGAATCCTCTCAAATTAGCCTTTACCAAGCGATGGGATGAATTATTTGATATTTGTATTACACTGGGACAGAGAAATCCAATAAGGCTGAACAACGTGGCGGTACAGCAATAATCAATGCGGAGCGAACAGATCCTGAAGACATGTTGGCAATGAATTCGGCTGCTGTAATGTCCTTGTGTGCATGCTGCTATTATATAATAAGAGGAAATGATCGTCCCTGTCTGGCTTTTCATTTGGGTCTGTGATTGGGTCTGTGTCCGTTAGTTCTTTTCCTGAAGGTTGAATTTCATTTGCAGTTTGACATTGATTACGGTTGGGTGCCTGACCAGTGTTATATAATTTAGCATTGATTGTTTCTGGCACGGAATGGAACGAACAAACTGGAAACGCATCAAACCCTGGAAATCTGCCCAGAGATTTGTATATTTGTGGCAGGTGTTGTGGTAATTATATTCAAGCATGAAACACAAAATGGTACTATATGAATACATAGAAACAGTCAGATACATAAAAATAGATTTAGTTTACATTTGACACAGACAAACAAAAGCTTCTAGGATTTCCTTCTCATCAGTGTTTGAAAATTGCTATGCCAAGTCCCAATTTGCATACCATCCATCCTAAATAGTATTCGAAAATAGAATTAGTATGTGTCCCAAATTATAGTATGTTGAAAATAGTATGCCAAGGTTTCCAGAAGGTTTACTATTTTCGGTACAAATTTCAAGTGTAGAAGCGTTTATGATCTAACTGCTAATATTGCTCAATACATTGCGAGTTGGAGGGGGGAAGCAGTGGTGCAGTAGGTAGTGCTGTCACCTCACAGCAAGAAGGTTGCTGGGTTCGAGCCCCGGCTCAGTTGGCGTTTCTGTGTGGAGTTTACATGTTCTTCCTGTGTTCGCAGGGGTTTCCTCCGGGTGCTCCGGTTTCCCCTACAAGTCCAAAGACATGCGGTACAGGTGAATTGGGTAGGCTAAATTGTCTGTAGTGTGTGGATGTTTCCCAGAGATGGGTTGCGGCTGAAAGGGCATCTGCTGTGTAAAAACAGCAAAAGCCTTAGCTGCGGGGGAGTTTGAGATCGCCCTCAGCTCAATCTCCCCTCGCCCCACAAAGGGAGGTAGCCCTGGACTCGAGGATCCCTTGAGCTCAGGGCTCTCTCCCGGGGACAGCATGCCGAATAAGCTTTCGTAAGTCATGAGCTAAGTGTGAACTCTTGAATTGCAGTACATTTCTCTATTGGCATGTGTTGTTAAATTGAAGTTTTTTCGATTTGTTACTGTTTTTCTATGTGTTTTCTTAAGCTCTCTCAGTCACCGTGAGTTTTTTTAACTAAAAAAAGTTACTCCAATCAATTATTTACACCTTCAGAAATGTATATTTGCAACACAACACAGCTCCCAAGTGCCTCATTTCAGCAGAAAACTATGAGGTTATTATATTTTGGGAACATATAGTCCTTAAATAAA